TCCATATCACTCATTGTGTCAGAAAATTAAATGAGAGCTTGGAGACGAAGTAACAGATGACACGTGGCTGGAGAAAAAATAGTGGCGTGTTAAAATTTAAAAAGATTGGTATTTTTGTAGTTTAATTTACTCAGCATGTTTTATAGTTAGTCCCTCAATTTATTATTAACAGGTTTAACTTGATTTTTTAATATAAATTTTAAGAAAAATTTTAACGTGCTATATAGATAATAATTAAAAGTTTTATATAAAAATAAAAATGTTTTGATATTAAAAATATTAAAATATTTTAGTTTTTTATTTTTCATTTTTAATGACTAAAATAAGTGAGATACATAATGTATTTTAGAGCATTAAATCTCTTAGTAAACAAAATATCAGCTTGTACATCTACACTCTTTTTGAAAGTTTATCTTCTTGAAAGAATAATAATAAAAGAAATGGATTTTATGAAATTATAATTTGAGATATATAAATGACATGTTATAAATCACATTGTTTAAAAATTTTAAAATTAAATGCTTGATTTTATATTATTTAATAATTAATTTTTTTATTTTATTAAAATTTATAATATTATGTATATTAACTTATTTAATAATTCAATTTATGTCATCTAATTGATTCTAAATTTTGCTCATAAATTTTCACTACTCCTTATGAAATGAATAATCATTACATAATTCAACCTCGCCTAATTAAGTCATTAACTAATGTTTGTTTTATAACCCATCAAAGTCAATCACAATTTAAGATGTCATTAAAGTTGAAACTATAGACAAATAAGTGGGGATACAATGATTAAGATCATGAATAAAATAAAAAATGAATTAAATAAATGTATTTATTCAAAAAAAAAAACAAGTGTAATTTTTTTAATGTGTTTTCACCATAGAAGTTAAAGGTGTATTTAATATATCTTTTAGATATTAAGTTACATAAAAAAATTAAATTAAATTTAAATTTTAATAATTAATTACTTAAATTAATGCATATGACATTAATATAAAAAATAATATATTTTTAAAATTTTTATACAACTTAATAATTAAAAATACTCTTATATTAATTATATTCTTAACATATACTTATTAAAAACATTCCTTTCTTTTCATTTTTTTTTCTATCATGTGATTTAAAGACAAAGGTTAAGCCCTTTTAATCATACCATATTGCATTAAAATTTTCGTAGTTTTTCATTGCAGAGTCTTTGTTTTTCCCTTTTGACAAATTTAACCCTATTTAGTCTGCAAGAAACACTATTACACAAGTCAGCCTACATGCATCCACCTTTTTTTTCTCTCTCTTTCCTTCTCTCTCCATTTTTCCCTCTCTACAGCTTGTATCGCGTTGGGGCAGAGAGGAACCTTAAGCCACCGTCATGGCCTTGCCGAGCCAACCAAAGTGTTTGGCTTATTCTCTCCACATCATCTTCTATGTTTCAATATTTCCCCCATTCTCTTTCTAGATCCAAATCATAGTTTGAGCCAGAAAGCCATTTAGCTGCATGGAATGAAAAAGAACCATATTGCAATTGAATTAGCGGAAGAATATCAACAAAATTTTTAGAATGTGCTCGAACAGCAATGCTGGGGCATGATGCCTTGGCAAATCAGGCGAGTGGATAAGGGATCACATCTGGGGAACGCAAAGCAACAGAACGAGAGTGGGAAGGGAGAAGTCCCGTTGTTCGCTTCGAATTTCGAAGGAAATCCTTCCAATTTTGAAGGAATGAAATTAGATGTTTGAGAATTTGAGAGGGAGATAAGAGGGGGTTCGGCTCTTATTCATGGAGAGGCTCTGATATTTTCGGTAGCCATCGGAGGAGAAGTGAAGATTGTGAACAAGAAGAAACCAAGCGGACAAAAATTGCAAACTCTTGCGGTTATAAATTTGAGCTAAAGATAAAACTTAAAACATTCTTAAATCTTTATTGTTTTGTTAATGTGTATACACCCGGATTCAACATCCGGATGTACATACTCCGAAAAAAAAAAAAAACGAACACTTGATTCTTTTTTTTTTTATGTGGAGTGTGCATCATGGTCCTTTGTTAAAAACTAAATTCGAAACCTTAATGCTGGGGT